CAAATGTTCCTCTCTCCCTGTAGGTTTTGGCTTTTATTTACCCTTAGGCCATTAAGCTACAACAGCTCTATAATCCAAATTTCAGGAGAAGCATTTTATATAACCATACAATCATCTGATCAACCCCACGCTGAAGGACAACTTCTAAAAAATTTTAAAATATTAATAATGCAAATAATTTTGATAAATTACTGCAAGTTTCCTATTTGCATTAGGTTCAGATAGAAAAGGAAAATAAAAAAAAGTCAAAGACAAGGTTGCAAACAGATCATAAGAGACTGAAATTAATTAAATATATTAATTCATTGCCTATAACTTAGAACAGAAGTGATCATAGGGAGAGCAGTATGTGACACCATCATGAGAGTACTGCAGAAAGAAACAGTGTGGATATGCATGTGTGTGTGTGTACTTACTGCCTAGAACTCCTCAGCCAGTTCTGCAAGTAATTCCAATAATGAAATACACATTCTGACACATAAACATGGCTTTAAACTCTTGACAGGCTTTGCTGATGTTGCACAAGAAATGTGTTTGCTGAATGCATGACCATCATCTGAGAACATTACAATGTCTGGGCACAAGGATGTGTCACCATTGATCATGTTCTAGCTGCACTGGTTTTGAAAAGTAAAAAATGCTTTCTGATTATTTTGCCTTAACTGTCTTGAAGAATGTTGGGTAAGTTGCACAATCATTTTCATTTATTCTTCAGGCACTGTTGTAGATCCATCCTTAAATTAGGCTGTTCTAGGATAGGCCAACAATAAATCTTGTAGCCTTGCTGATGTTGCAATTAACAGGTCAGCCATTGGCAAGGAAATGCATGTAGATTAGACCCCTGAAATAGTAAATGAGGATGGTGGATACTTTAAGTGACATATTAATGAATTACTTACTTAACATGAATACAATAACCCATACATTTCTCAGTGTTGGAAAAAGTACATTATATTCAGCAATTAATCATTATTCTTCAAAATCTAATGAGCCCTTAGGAAAAAGACACTGGAGTAAACATCATAAGATGGCTAAAAATGCTTAGAGTGAGTGTTCATTATTACTTTTTGAGCAAACTGGAATATAACTAGTCCTTAACATCTTTCTGCAGTGGGAGAGAAATGAGCTTGCCTGACAATTTACCATTGTAAAAAAAGGAAAATGAAAAAAAATGAACTTATATTAAAGAAATATAAATGAATGTAGGGAGGAACTGGAATTTTAAGACTTGGTTCTGTACTCCTCTGCATTCCAAGCCCATAATGTAGTTATGTAATATTAAGCAATGTATTTTCAGTATAATCACAAGCACAACAAAAGCAAATATTTAAATACAAATAGAGTTGTAAGTGTTCTCAATAACACTATCTGCAGGTGTACCTAGGAGCTATATTATTTCTGCTCAGATCTGAGCAAAGCAGCTAAAACTACTCCAAAGAGTAGTGATAAGCACAAGACATAGGAAGAATGATTAAAAAAGGAAGTGAAAATCCATATAACAAAGAATGTAAGAATGGTTATGTTGTTCCTGTTAATGGATTGAACCATATGAAGTGGCAATTGTTAACTGATACCTATGCAATTCATTTATGATTCTATGTTTAGCTCATGTTACTGCTTTTGGAAACATATCAACCTATCTGCCTTAGTTGTTTTGTTTGGATTTAAAAAAAAACATTTGTGAGAACTATTACTCAATAGCAATGGAAGAAATACAGAATTTAATTTGATTTTCCTGATTGTAAAGCAATACATTTCTTTAAAATGGTTCAGCTTTGAAGATGCTCCCAGAGTTTCAGCCTGTTTGCTCTCTGAACTGAAATAATGATACCAAGCAAATGAAATGGGGCAGTTTTCCTGAGTTTCCTACAGTGGTAGAATTTTACAGTGCCTGAATTCTACCCTCAGAGGGAAAGGCAGAGACAATTTGAGTGAAGTTTATTAAAATCCATGAGGATATTTCTGTATCTGCGCTTTAATGTCATTTTCAGTGCCTTTATTTCAGCTTTTATGCAGAATCTTGGTTTTGCCCTTAAGCCATCACAGACAGGGAATTGAGGAGTCAACTTTCATTATTTTTCTCCAGTGCTTCAAAACCACAGTGTTCAAAATACACAGAAATATTCACCAATAATCTTTTTTTTTTTTTTTTTTTTTTTTTTTTTTGTCTAAAACATGAATGAGAAGGGTGACCTAGTAGTGATGAGCATCTTTATTACTTTCAACACTTGCTTTGGGAGTCTTCCATGTGGTGTTTCCTCTTTTTTCCATGTCCCAGCAGACATTACAATTTTTTTTACAATTCATGTGTGGTAGCCCTTGCCCCCACATACTATTCCAGAAGTCTGATACAGAATTCTTAGATCAAAAATATAAAATTTACAATTTTTCAAATGCAACAGTAACCAGTTCTAAACTAACACCAGGCCACCCATTAAAATGACATAAAAATACAGTCAGGATACAAAGTAACATTGCCTGAAGGAGCAATAGCATGTGATTGATTGTGCAGATGCAGAGTTGGATAGACAGAATAGAATGGACAATTTCAGTTGCAAGGGACATACAATGATCAGCTGCTCCAGCTGCCTTAAATAATTTTGTTTTCCAAGTATTGCAGTGATGCTGGGAAAAAAGAGAAATTACTATAAAACAAAGAAAAAAAAAATATCACATAATGCTGTTGCTGGGCTTGCTCATGAAGGTCAGAAAATTAAATGCCCTCTTTCAAAGCAAAAAATGCACACTGTATTTTCCATATGTGCAATCTGTTTAAGGGTGACTGTGCTACTCCCTTTGGAATTAGAAGGCAGTGTTATTTACATGATTATTAAATTATTTGGCTTTTCATTCTACCTGTTTTATATCATAATTAGGGCCATATCTAATGGCAGCAGGATGAGTCTGCAAGCCCAGTTGTGCCAGATATGCAGAACTGAGCGCTGCATGGGAAGTGTAATTGCTGAGCCCTTTATAGAGCATTCACTGCTTGACTCCAAACTGGGAAGGGCTGCTGCAAGCAAATTTGAAACCAAGAGTAGAATTGAAAACAGTGTAGACAAGTAGGAAACAGAAAAAAACCCCACCAAAAACACAAAACCTAAAAAATGGAAGGCAGTTCTGTGAAGCCAAGTACAAAGTATCGTGCTTTTTACAATACTGGTAATCAGCTGCAGAGTAGAAGGTGGGGTATGGCTGGCTTAGGAGCACTTTAATTGAATCTGCTATTCTGCTATTAAGAAGAGGAAGGAAAGCAAAGTGTAAAGGGTATAGAATAGTTTGTACAATTTTTAACATAAGCTTAACTGAAGTTCCAATATTATCTTCAGGTGCATGTACTAGACTGCAATTTAAAGATGAGAAGTTTACTTTGGAGAAGGGAAATAGGAAGGAGCAGGTTACAAGACAAGTGATTTGAGAAACAGTTGCAAGCCTCAGGTTGTTTTGTTTAGGCAAGCTAGTATATAGCTGCTGCACTGAAACCATCAGAATTATTTCCTGTCAGCTGACCCGTGAAACCCACGGGTCATGAGATGGCTCATATCTTGCCTCTCTTGTAAGAGCCCTTGTTTTTAACTTCAGCTGGTTTTATGCACTTCCCTTCACAGCTGAGCCAGGAAAGAACAGCTGAGTTATCCAAGGTGGCTTGGTGGGTGGCATAAACACATGAGCTGAGATAAATTTAGTTTTTGGGTTTTTTTAATAGATCATCACTGAGAACAGTCTTCAAATGTTAAAGATTACTGCAAAGAGGAGGAGACTACATCGATTCCCATATTCATTGTGTGTAAGAGAAAAGTATGGCAACTACAGCATGAACATTTTAGATATTAGTTTCCCAGCTATAACAATTGTTAACGCTGCAGGGCATTTCCTAGGGAGGCAGTGTAGTCCCCATCAGTTGAGATGGTGAAGAATGCACTAGGCAAATATCTATCAAGAACTGCTTAGGTGTAGTTGAGCTTGTCACGAGGACTTTTTCTGAAGTCTTCAATGAAAAGAGCTCAATTTTTCTTGCTTGCCTGTTCTCACACACATAAAAACCTCAGAAAGTAATAACAACACCCTCTCCTCCCCCCAAAAAAGCCCCAAACCTAAATCAGGTTTAGATTTTTACTATTACTTCTGATTACTTCTAATTGTTTTGTATCAGTGAAACTGAAAACTTAAGCGATAAAATTTCTACAATAAAAATTAATATGTATGTCCCAAGCCAGAAAATGGCTACTGGCATATGATTACATATGGATTTTTTAAAATTAAATGCTCTGACAATAAAGGCCAGATGCATGTTATCCCAACTTTTATTGCTTCAAGCTGGCTTTATTAAAAGCTCCAAAGACTTTCTGAAGTAACAGAATTGCTCTGCTTTGCTTGTAAAAACTAAGTTTAACTCTCTGATACATACAGAGTAGTGTCAAAGAGCCTCCTGAAAATTTAGCTTCTGACAATTTTTCTGTTGATTGTTTTTTGCAATGACTTTTTGAAAAAAAAAACCCCACACTTAATTTCCTTCCTATTTTTTTTTACCAGAATAACTTTAAAAAAGATGTTCAGTCAGTCAGTGGTGTATTCTGGCAAAAGACAGCTGGGTAAAATTATAGCAGATAATGAGAAACTTACATTTATCATACTGACTGATTTTTCAAAACATTCAACTACATCAAAATGTAAATACTATCAATCTTTGCCTGATATATAAATCTTCCTGAGAACACACCCTACCAGAGCAGTTTCAGCTGGAATCTGCTAATTTCTCTCTCCTACCACCTGAATGCTTCTATTGCCATGACAACTAACATGTTCTAACTCTGGTCAAGGTTGCAGGGGAAAAAACAATGTTTTGTAACCAGCTGATGTGCTTCAAAAATTACTCAAAGGGATTTTTTTTCCAGCTGGTTAATGGTGCATATTCAGTACATAATTTTTAGCAATGCTGCTAATTATTTAAAGAATGGATTAAAGATATGTCAGAATGAGTAATTATGTATGTAATTTTGTAGGGTTTTTTATGAGACAGATTTCCTTTGGAATAACCTGTGTCTGGTTAGGAAGACTAAGGTGGAAAGAAATGGCTCCATCCCACTCAAGATGACACATGCAGCTCAAAAAAGTGGGAACTTTGAGCTGGTTGGAAGTCAAGGTAGGCAACAGGCAACTAATTTAGCGTATCAAAACTTTTATCCCCAGAAGCATCAAGGCCTGGAACATACAGTTGTTCAAGTGATTTGCATGCAGAAAAAATGGTGTTTTCATGCAACTGGGTGAAAAACCTACCACTTAACCTGTTTTTAAAAGAAGGATGTTTAGATATCCTTTCTAAGAAATGAAATTCCTACTGACTAGGCTGAAGAGCCTATTTTGAGTTAAATATTAAAACTGAACATGAAGGCCCGCCTGATGGTCAGGCTGTTAATCTATTGATCACGGTAAGGTATGTTTCTAATTTAGGAATGCTGCTCCTTTCTCAGAAAAGAGCCCTGACAGCTTAGCCCCTATCTTGTATTTCAGTGTGGATTCCACTAGATGACTGAAGTCATAATGATTGTTGTGGGCTGGGTCTCAAACCTTGATCTGCCATTGGCACTGAGAGGAATCTAGGGTTCCTTTCAAGTATGTAGAAAATTAAGTCCTTGGTTTCTTCTGTATAACAAGTTGTGAAGAAGATTAGCAATTAAAACTAGAACTATAGAGTTGTTTGCCTTTGAGGATACAAAGATTCAGTGAAAAAAAATACTAGGTTCTTCGTAAGTCTTGACCTTTTGAGAGGCGAGAGAGAAAATCCTGCAAAATGTTAGATGGAAAGGCTTACCATTTCCTAAAAAAAGCCTTGGTATGTTCTCATCTCTCTTAAAACCCCTACTCTCTGTGAAGCAGAATGCTTAGGAATAATTTTCATTTTTATTTGCAGTTAAGAAGCTAAAGGACTGAGGAGGATGGGATGGCAAATGAATTGTCTGTCTCATTAACAGAAATTCTTGGGGTTGGCAGAGCTTTCAGGGTCCACAGGAGAAGAGCAGTGAAACATAAATTGTAACAAGCCTGAAATCTCATGTGACCTACTATTGAACCAGAACGAGGGAGACTGCAGACAAGATGTATAGAATCTGAAATCTGCACCATCTGAATTTGTCACCCAAATTAACTGCCTGTGTGTCTTTGGACTCTCAGAAAAAGAAATTATTACAGCTTTTAGATTTAAATCACAGCTGCTTAAAACACCATGACCTTGCAAGGGAAAGGAAGGTAATGTTTGTAACCCAAGCAATAGAAATACAAGTTAGTGGTGACTTGTGTCTTGCAAAGGCACACAGACCTTTCCTGGCGGGGGCTTGTGTACACTGTGGTGCCCCTGACCAGTGTCAGGCCACGTCCTGAAGTTCTCTGTCAATTCTCTCTACAGCTGAACCACAACCTCCCTTGAGGTGGGGAGAATGGATGAGAAATAGAAGACTGTGTCTTAAAATGGAATTCAAGACAAGGGGAAGAAACAGAGGGAATCCACTCTGTTGGAAATATACTTTCTTCAATTACCTGCTTTCAAATGAAAGGAAAAAGTAGATTGCTTAACCTGAAAAGGTGGCTGAACAACAGGTCAGTAGGTTCAAACCAAAGAAATAACAATGAGATAGTTGCCAAAGGAAGTGATTATATACAGAAGTATGACAAACTCCAAAATCAGTGACAAATGTTTTCAGAGGATAAAAGAATAGAGAATGTTTCTAATAAGAAATGCAAAGATTATTGTATGTCTAAACTAAATATTACAGTCTAGCTATTTAACAACTTTCTAGAATTAATTGGTGATGGATGAAGGGTCCAAATCGCCTTGCCTGCTTTTCTGAGCCAAATAAGGTTTAGTTGGAGTCAATAAGATTCACACAGCCACTCTTTTCTAGAAACTGAGAAACATACTCTAACATGAAAATGAAGAAATCAGAATCATTAAGTTTAGCATGTAGTCTAAAAATTAGTATTTGTCACAAAATGTATATTTAAATCCAGAAGAAGGAAATTAGTCATTTTATAACATGAATAAAAGGAAAACTTGTTCTAATGAAGCTGTGGGAGTTGAACTCATGCTATGGCAGGAGATGGATTGAGCAGAACCCCACTGCTCTGGAAGTGGCAGAATACAATACTTGAAGCAAAGGAGCATTGTCTTGAGAGGAGATGCTGAGGGCTGACTCAGAAGCATATTTTTGCCAAGAAAGCCAATTTCCAGTCCTTTTGTGCTTTGAGTACTAGCAACTCTATTATTGATTTGCAAGGAGAGGACACTGACTAACAAGTTGTATCTGACAAAATTTCTTTGAGAGGTATTAAAGTACACTCAAAGTGGTTTTGCTCTAGTCCTACTTCAGATTTTAGTTGTTATATATAGAAACTGGAGAAATGGGAGGAATGAAAGTCTTCCAGGAACATGTGTGCTCGAATCTTTTTTGCATATTGAACTGTATTTTTACTAATTTGAATTTAATTTTTGCAAGTATTAGTTAACTTTTAGTTTCAATGAATTATTAGTTATAAGGGGAAACTTCTTATTTTGCTGGTGAGAACCAGTCGCAATAATCAAAACAAACATGTTCTGGGGAGGGATGGGGAAGGAACTTTCATCAGACTTTGGTCTTGGTAGCAAAAATTTAACAGGTAACAAAATCCCACAGAAGCCAGACAGTATTACACCAAGTCCACTAATTATTAATTTTGTAAAAATTGCTGTAATCTTACTCTGGTATATTAATCTAGTAGCTGGTTTTTACAGTAAAGTAATTACAATATTTCAGTAAAAGGTAAAGCAGAAGAAGGAATTTATAACAATAGCAGTAGTTGCAAGTTGTCTATATAAACCTTAATAAAGTCAATCCTGGTAGCTGAGAATGTTCTGAATTAGCTTTATCTCAGTTTCCCAAACTGCAAAAGAAAAGGAGAAAAAGCTGATGTAATGCCTAGTGAAGTACCATGTGAAATGAAGCAAAATGTGAGACAAGATACTGAAAAATAGTGCATCTGTCTTGTAATACATCCTACAAACCAAATGTCCTGGAATATTCATCATCTGGTGTTGCATTTCAGGCTTTTCAATTTCTGTGGACAACATGGGAACTCAAATTATGGCTCTACTTTTTCAAAGCCCTGTGAAATTCAAAAAACTGGGAGAGGAAACAAATATCTTTGAAACAAAACGATGGATTTGAGACTTCCTCTTTTTGCTGGATGTGACTTACTGGCAATGGTGAAGGATGCAAAAGATCTTGTCTTTGCACAGTCCAAGTCTTGTTTTTTGCTTTCCTGGGTACACAAATTTCTATGGCTGTTTAAAACCAGGAATGCAAATGTGGGCTTTTCTTGCAGGAGTGATGGAGGATTGGACAGTTGCAGGACCAAATTTGTTAGGGAATTGGAATAAGCTACAGAATGAGAAAATTTCTGCTCTATATTGGTGGTGCTTGTGCAAACATTCACTTCCACACTTTTCCTGGAAGGACTTTTGTGAGGTGGTTGGGAATACAGTACTCAGTGCAGCCTGTCTTTCACTTATTCCCCTGAAGGATGAGCCAAGCTGCAAAGTGCCTCTGAGCCTCTCATCATTCTCTTATGACTTCTCACTCTGCAGGCTAAGCTAGACAAGGATGCAGCTCCTTTGTTTTTTCATTTGGGGAAATCTTAGTGCCAGGTCTGTAAGTGGCAAGGGGCTATGGAACTGTGACTGCTGTTGTCCAGAATGCCTTGCAGCATCTATGACTGAACTTTTGTATCAAATTAGAGCATATTTTATCCTTAACAAAGGTTTATTGCTAGAAAAAGTAATTGGTTCATTTTTTAATGACTTGAAGGTCACCTGGAGAAATCTTTACACACTTCCAATGTTCTCTGAGGGGACATTTTGGATCAGAAGAAAATGGAGATCTAATCTGATGGTAACTTGTTTGTTCCTTGGGTTCATTATTTGGTGTTTTCTGATATTAACTGTAACCTACTCTAGTAAGAGAAATCACCATCACTTATTCCAGTGGCAATGGTTTGATGGAAAATGTGACTGCAATATCGTTCTGTATGAAAGACAAACTGTGAGTGTTTGATCAGTGTACAAAGAAGAAGAAAATATATATGAGGCAATAAAAAAATAGGAGCTAGAGCTAAAAGTTAAACATGGAGAATGAGGCATAATTGTGTCAGGTAAACACTTCTTCCTCATCATCTTTTTTTGCTCACTGGTGAGGCTTGTTCACTATCTAGTCCTGCATGTTGGAATTGAGCATCAATTTTGCAAACTAAGTAATGAATCCATCAGTAGTATTTCTCTTTACAATAGGTAATTTACTGTGTGGTTGAAACAAAAAAATACAAGAAAGTGTAGGAAATAAAAACATAGAAATCTGAATAAAAGCTTGATCTGAATTATATTGGATATTCCTACCAAATGCAGAAAATTAGGGACTAGACCCAGATGCTAACCTGAATAGATTTTGAATTCACTGATTTGAACAACAGAGCTCTGATGTGAAAGAAGTGACTCTGTCAACATGATATATATCAGGCTGCAGAGCCTATACATTGAGGTGAAATTCAATGCTATTCTTCAAAGAGTTGCAGCTCATAACTCACACCCATGGAATGGCCCATGGCACAATTTTGAAAGCCCCAAGGAGCTATCTAAATGAGTTCAATCTGTCTTTGCCTACAGGCCAGCAGCACTGCAAGTTCTCTGCAGCTCTACCTGCAACAGTCCTGTTTTTGAAGTCCTGCCAGACTTAGCTCTCAGCTATCTGCAGTAGAGTTAAGAAATATATAAATCAGGGTGGAACTTGGTGTGTGGATTCTAAAATGCAGATGATATTTTTTTCCCTTTTGAATAATTTGGGATCCAGTTTTGAAGAAATGTCATGAAATTAGAACTATTAAAATGGCTGAAAGCCATTGAATTCTGAGAGTCCCTGTATATATAGAAAATAATGGTTCAGAACAATATCAGAGCTATAAAATTGTATTAAGTCACTTGGGTAATGAAGGGTTAAAACTCCAGCGTGTAGACTTGCAAATTGTACTGGTTTTGGTGATGCCATGTCAATTCACACCACCTGAAAAATTTGCTTTAGAGTGTTGAATAAAAGATAATCATAATCCATTTGAATAGGTGATTTTTTTCTTTCTAAGAAAAAATATTTAAAAATTGTTTTATATGCTAGCTATTCTAAAACTTTTACTTCTGGATAATCTTTCACTATTCATCTGAATTCTTGCAAATAAACTCATTTCTGACTTTTGATTGGGAACTTCAGAACTATAATTTAAGTACCTTGTTAGAAAAGTTGCATCAAAAATATAATCACAAAAGCAAAGCCTAAGGTATGTCCCTATGTTAGAATCAACTGACTTTATAGCTGGCATAATTTCTGCAGAAAACAAATGTGTGTTTTATTTGCAGTAGGTCAAATGTTAAGTCAAACAATGAAATATGTATTATTTTTACCAAAAAAATATTTTAAAAGTTTTCTTAGGAGCTTCCACTGTGAGCAGTCCTGTATTAGTGCCATTCAAAACAATAAGGAAAAGTAAGACAAAACCTAAGGACTAGTGAAGCAGTGCACAGCTAAGGTTAGAGAGAACTTGGCAAGGAAAGGAAGTCAGGCTTCCAAACTGCTGGGTTCAGCCTCAGTTTGCAATGTAAACCTGCCTGTTCATCCTTTCAGCACTCATGGAACTGAGCTGATTGGCACACAGTGTTTTCTGGATGGTTTCGATGAAGCAGCGCAGTCTCCCGAGACAGACATTCCCTCTCCCATTGAAGACAAGCTCTCTACTTTTCCTCAGAAGTTGAGGCAGAGTTTTATGCTTACTTGGCAATGTAAAAATAGCACTGCTGAATACGCTTTTAACTCTTAAATCTGCTTCAAACTATTTTTTTTCTTTTTTATCCATAACATTAACACTGCTGTGGAGTGCTAGTCTGAAAATTCTGCAGCTCTAGGAAGAGAAAGTGATCACCATGAGAGACTTTGGTCCTAATGACCTGTGAGCTGTACAACCCAGCAGGGACTTGCTGAGCATCTCTTTCCCAGGTGGTCAAGACAGACAAAATCTTCTGATAAGAGGCTTTCTGTGGTGTGATACAGGCAGCATGGGCTTAGCAAATTGGACTGTAAGCAACATGCTAGCTAAAATATCCATTAATTTGAGAAACACTTACTGGATGAAAAATTAAATTTAAAATTTTTGAAAAAATTCTTAATTCTAATTTTTTAAGCCTTTTTTTTTTGACAGCAGAGAGGTTATCTGCCTCTGGAATGTTAGTTCTAAAATGTAATTTCTGGTAAGAGCTGCGAGGATCTAGGAAAGAAGAAACAATATTTAAAATAAAGTATCATTCAGGACTAAGCAATATATTTTCTTGTACATATATTTTTTCCTACAAAAACTTGTTGTTGCTCATTTAAAAAGGTAGTTCTTAAACACCTAGCACTTGAGTAGCCCTATGGACAACAGGAGATTGAGGAATGTATGGGTAAAGCAGCTTTTGCATTCTTTTTGCTGCTCAAACAATCAAATCACTTTTTGTATGAGCAATTACTAAATACTGTGTGAATGTGTCTTGAGGTAATGTAGTATTGTGTCCTCCCAATGTTGGTAGAAAATAATCAGATCAAAGATTATCTCAAAGATTATCTCAGTTAGTTCTGTGGTGTAAGCCCTAAGTATGGCAATTAGGAAGTAGTGCACATCTGGTATCTTATGATAATAGATCATCAGAAATGAAAATTACGTGACAGTTTTATACAATGTATAGTTCCAAACCCACAGAACTCTTAAAAGACAACATTCATGGGAATAAGTGGTGGGTGGAAAGAGATTGATTAGAACCACCTGCTGTTTACTGTGAGCTGTTACAGGTGATTATTATATAAGAAAAAAAAACCCCAAAACACTTATTTCAATAAAATTAAGGATAAAAAATTACATCTGATGTCACTAGAAAGGAATATAAGAGCTGTTAAAAATTATAAGATCAAGCCTCTGAAAGCTGCAAAGTATTTAGTACATAGCAAGGTAGGGCAGAATATTAAATAGCTGCAAATATGGAAAAATAAAATATGAGCAAACAGTACTACTTTTTATCATCAGTAAGTAGCTTTAGGCATAAATAGTTCCCTTGAAATCATCGAGAATTTTTTTTTTCTGTGCAAAAGGAATAAAGTTTTTTAAAAAAGAAGAAAAACCACTAAAAATTTAATAAGCACCCTGTGAGAATTGTGGTAATTATTGAAGCCCTGCAAGGTCATTATTGGTAATTGAAACCTGATCACTTTTAAAACCCAACATGCCCAAGCGATTGCAAGATGTTATACACTCTTTAAAACATTCCTTGAGGGAGCATGAAACAAAAAGAGGAATTCAATAATTTTAAAACAGCAATATATTTTTTAAACTTGTTTAGTAGAAGTTTAATTGGAAGTCATAGATTGAAAATAAATTATATGAGAAGGTGGAGATTTCTTTGGAACTGAGCAACGGAGAGGAGATCTCAGGTTACATTTTCAAAGCTGTGTAAATGAGTTACAGGCATGGGCACATCAACTTCCATCATTAGGAAACAGCCATGGAGAAAACATGGGGCAACAATGTTATGTCAGTCCCAGAAGTGATTTAAGCCTTTTAGACTGTACTTTCAGAGGTATTTTCCATGAAATAAATGTGGGAGTTTCTTTGGAGAGTCTGTTGACTTTCAGCAGAACTTAGACACTTGAATACACAGAAATGGTACTGGGAGGTGAAGATGTTTAGCAGAAAAAAAATGGAACAGATTATTTTGTAAATACAATGACTGCAGATGAGGAAAAAAGATAATGCAGAAGTGGAAGTTCTGAGGCCTTTTTATCTGTTAACTAGAAAAAAGAATTAATAACAGTACAGTGAACATAATATTCATATGTGCAAACTGGGTGACAGAAGAAATAGACAAATCCAGTAATATCTTGAGTAATTTAACTTTTCTAGTTCCTTTATGCCAGTCAGTTATTCTTTTGTGTTCCCCAAGCATCCAAGCTGAAGATTGTCTGGGTTTGAAAAATTGATTTCTCTGTACTTTATCAAGCTTTCAGATCTCTTTGATGACAGCTTCTTAGATCAGTCAGTCAGACTCCCATGACTGTCTAAAAAAAGATGGCAGCTGGATTATTTTCAGACAAAACCAATGCTGCCAAATGCCTTTCAGTGACTCTCTCACTAATTTGTCATAGTTTTTATTTCTATGTAAAGAAATGCCACCTTATATACCACCTTAATTTCCTTTTTTGGGTGCTTGGGTATGTCCTATACACTTGCAAGGTATTCAGCTGCTATGTGAAAATGTATTACCATCAGCAAAGTAAAAAATATCATTCATAAATGCTAAATGTTTTCCTTAAATCAGGAGGTATCTAGAGTATACATGAATAAAGTTTTTTTTATTTTTCAAGAATTAGAATGAAAAAATCTCTGAAGATGATTGAATAACAGTACTGTGTTACAGGTTCGGCTAAAATAAAAGAAAAAGTTTTAAAAACCCCAAAAAACCTATGAAAATTGCCTTAGTGAAAGCAATTCTTTATACGTGTCAATACATATCAAATAAAAATTATATTATATTTTAAATTGTTCTCCTTAGAACAGTGCTGATTTGAGAAAAATTCTGATTTGAGGGGGGAGAAAATAAAACCTCAGTGGGTTATTGTTGCCAAAGTCAGAGAAAATTCTTGCTCAGAAAAGTGTTATTACCTGTACAGGCCTTGTGAGCTTTTAGACAGACTTGTGCAGTCATGTTCCCACCTGTCCTGAGACACTGGCATCTGGGAATCTATTTCAATATTTATAACCCTTTCTTCATTCTGACTGGTTCCAAGCAAGGGAAATGCTGTTTCACACCTGTGTGCTTGTTGTAGAGCTGACTCCACACAAGCAGCAAGGGACGTCCAGCAGACCCGTGGGATTACAGATTTCAGGAGGAATACCATTCCAAGCAGATCTTCAGGAGTTACAGGAGCTTTAAAGTGCTGCTGGTGGTCTGCACTTTGTGTTCTTGGCACTTGGCACTTTCTGGCCTGTTGTGTTCCTGGAGTCAGGCATTTCCAGCTCACTGCAGGAATGCTGCCAGCTCTTAGTGAGCACTTCCATCAGAATGCAGCTGCTGCTCAGCACTTGGGGCTCCTCTATTGTCCAGCTGGGTATGTTATGACTTTTTTATCCTCTGTGTAACTGTGTTTGCTTAGATGGCTTCACCTTGCTGGGTTTCCCTGACAGAACTCTGGGACGTGACAAAGATCCTAGTCACTGTCATTATGGTTTCTGAGAAAAGTTTAAAGCTAAGTTTCAATATCTGATCACAGGAATACAGGACAGATG